ATTTTAGAACTTAAAATAAATCACACTGACCGCAGCCAGTGATGCTTGACTTCGGTGATCTGCTGGGAACCGTGTTTTAGCGATCAGTCCACGACGGGACCTCCATATCTATCTGGATAGGCAGGCAGGCAGGCTGTCAGGTAGGTAGGTAGGTATTGATGCAAAACTACAGTCAAAGCTTTTAATATTATAAAATTTCCTATATGCGGTGCTGCTTTTTAGCTATTTTTGTAATTACTATAATATTGAATAAGCTAGCATATGCTCTAATTTCAAAGTTTCATCCCCGATACAAATTTGCATACATCAATACAAACATCATAGATCGTTGAAATACATGATGGTATTTTTGTGTCAGTTCAATATAGATTAAAGTGATTTTAGGGAACTCACTCTCTATTCTTTTAATTCTCATCTCCCAAGGCGTCAGCATGACCATAAAATTGGCTACTTCTCTTTTGAATCTATTCAATCCCTAAAATGTATAAGATTTGTGTAAAAATAACGTTCACAAACAAGAATGGTAATCACAGAATCAAATAAAAATTATGTGCACACATCAACTACATTCGAAATTCAAGTCCAATTTACCTTTCCCAGTTCTACTGATTGACAAAATATTGCCAAGTTATAAGTTAAGAAATTAGGAGTTAAAGTTGTGAGAACACCGAATAGGCTTCCATGTTATATGAACTTTTTGCAACACAGTATTAGAAATCTTTTTAAATGCAATATTCTTCATTCACAATGATAGAGTACTGCCATCCATTAACCATTACTGGTTTTGAATTAATAGATTGAGTACTAAGAACTTTTTGATTGAGGAAGGCAATTAATTCTTTAAAAAGGTGAATTAATTTTAAAGTCTAAAAAAATTTATGAAACTATTTTTCCAATTTTTTCAGCTTTTAGAGAAGGAATTTTTTATAAAAAAAAACGAAATCCGACGAATACTACTCTCCGATTTAAAAATGCGTTTTCTGATAACAACAATTTAAGATATATAAAATCAATTTATTGACAGCAATGCTTTGCATTAACTGTTGAATTGAAATTTTTTAGTAAAATATTTCTGTCGCCATCACAAATCTAATAAAAATTTACTATAAAAAGATGGTGTTTGTTTGAAGCTTTATGTTTCTTGTTTAATTGTACCAACTTTGATTTTTAAAAATAAATTAAACAGCGTCACAGATGTCATTTAGCCTGCCACTAATTTCCAGGAGGGATTTTTTTTTCTAGCTTTTGTTATAGCTTTTTAAGTAGACAGTCTAAAAGGGATAAAATAAAACATCAAAAGAGCATTCCTTGCTGATTCATATAGTGAAAAATGATCATATAGTTTTTAATGGAAAAAACATGCAATGATTTAATTAAGATTAAATTCTTCCAATTAAACTAAACATTAATTGTAAGCATAAACTTACTCTGCTCCATAAAAGTGTGTATTTAGCAAAAACATCCTTTGATCGTTTACTTTGTGCTAGTTCTCCTTCATGTTTACGAACATACGCTTTCGCTTTCCTGAAAAAATTAGATATTGATATTTCTATAAAGAAAAATGTTTCCTTATAAATTTCATAATTTTAAAATATAAAAATAAATATACAGTCTGATAACGATTAATACTGAGCTGAATAATTTTTTATGTGAATTGAGTGTAACTCTTTCACCTTATGAACTGTAATGTTAGCGAAATTTTTAAAAAAAATCTATACTAATTTTTCTGTCTGAAGAATGATGTAGGAAAAGTGTGATTAGGAATTCAAATTTTTATGATTATTCGAAAATTTTTTTATTCTTGTAGATTTCTATTCACCAATATATGGCAGTTGAATAAAAAGTGCGAATGAGAATCATCGCACTTTAATTTTTGACAGAGAAAAGGAAATTATTCCTTAAAACACAACTGAATAAGTACGTAGTAATGAGCGTTATCGCAGTTTAATTTCTGACAGAAAAAATTTAAGCTCAACAATGTGCCACAGATGAATAAGAACGAGCAAATGAGCGTCATCACAGTTTATTTAGTCACAGAATAATGGAAGTTCATCAATATACCAAAAAGGAATAAAAACGAGTTAATGAGCGTCATCACAGTTTAACTGTTCACAGAATTATGAAAGTTCACCAATATACCAAAAAAGAATAAAAACGTGTTAATCATCGTCATTGTAGTTCAGTTTTTTTCACATAATAAAGGAATACCAAAATGCCACAAATGAAAATGAATGGGACTTCACCAATATACCACAAATGGATATAAGTGTATAATGGATAATGGCAGTTTAGTTTTTGACAAAAAAAGGGAAAATACTTGGTGCATTTCAAGGCTAATTTTTAATCTTTGCTGATAGCTAGATGTTTCACTGCGCCATGCTATGAAAGTAAAATGCTTAGAGTGAAGTTATATTGTGTTTGGTCAAATAACTAATCACTAAAGAATAGAGATGAATTCAAAAACACATTATCAGTAAATTCTTTGATTGTGATTCAGCAATCATTTCTCTTCAGAAGATCAGACTCCTTACTTGAATCATTGGAACAATCGCAGAATCCATCAATTCAAGAGTATTAACTTAGGTGACTAGTTAACAGGGATAAATCTTGTGCCTACAGTTACACTCGATATTTACTTGTAGGAAAGTTTTCTCAAATGCATAAATTGAAGACAAAAAAATAATAAAGCAAGGAGGCTTATGCTTTCCCACAGTATGGGGTAACTCAAGAAAGCAGCAACTGATTTTAATTGTGGAAATGAAATCTACAGACAAAAATAAGTACCCACCATACTACTCAAAACACTTAAAAGTAAAAATAAATTATAAAATTTTTCTTCTTTTGCTTTTTTATATCCTTTTTATGATAAGTATATTTTTTTAGTATGTGTTTATGATATTAAGTTGAAATATATGTTTCCTCAAAACATATACTTTTAAAACGGAAAGTAAATTTTGACTGTAACAATATAGTTTCGTGGTCTTTGTTACCCTATAAAAAGAAAAAAATAATTATGTAGAATTAACATAGATTAATAATGTACGAAAACTTAAAGTGGAAATCTTATCAATTCATTAAACCAACAAACATATTTTTAGTCAATTAACTTGAAAGTATGAGTTCAATTTATTAAAGTTATAAGACATAGGAATTTAGGATGAAATTATCAAATTAACTTAAAAATCACACAGTATTGAAATATATGATCCAACGCTTCACTTCACTAAAACATGAAGATTATTGCATGAAAATTTGCAATTTCCGAATCAGTGACACTAAAATCCATCCAAAATAAATTTAAAGGACAGCAGAATGACTTTATTTCTACTCTATCTTTGAATGACAACTTCAGTATGAAAAAAAAAATTTTTTTTTCAACGAACGCGTGACAGTAACTTACATACGTGCACTAAATTATAGCTTATGCACAAGGACTATTAATTTTAGGCACTGAAAAAATATCTTATTCCAACGTTTATAATTGCCCGTAAAGATTATCTAATATTAGATATTAAATACAGAAACTAAGTTCACCTGAGTATCTTATATTTTTTCTGCATTCGCCATGGCTGTAGTTTGATGGTTTCTATAATCTGTTTATTTAGCCTCATGTTTTCCTTCACCTCTTCCGGAGTCTCTTCTTCTTCTATGGATATGGCAGTTTCGCTACAGAAATAAAAAATAAAAATAAAAAACATAATAAGTATCAGTTTTAAAAATAGTGCAGTTTCTTGGGAGACTTTGCTTACTGTCAATTATAAAATTCCTTGCTACCAAAGAAGAATAAAAGCGTTTTGTGTCTAATTTCATAAGTTAAAATATCGTCTGCACTAATTAATTAACACATTTGGATCACCCCCTTCAGCCACTATTAAGGAATTCTAGTACGTAAAAATCTGATCATTAGATTAAAAGTTGATTTTTTTCTATAATGCACCTAAAAGTATACTCAGAAAGCTTTTAATGGCACTAATTTGTTAACACGGTTGTGTTGAATGTGGACAATAAGAAACCATTATCCACATTCCTTACTTAAATTGCACAGTTATCATCTTAATGCAAAAAAAAATAGTTTAGCCAGTGTCTTTAATTCTTGGGTTTAGTTTTAAATTTGTTCCCTATCTGTATTCAAGTTTTTTTCTATAGCAAAAAAATTTAAAGATTGTAAAATAGCTAAGTTAAATTACTATAACTATTCTAACTCATTTAACGTTGTTTTTTATTACTTTATGTCTTTTTAGATACAAAAAGTTATAAATATCTGAGTTAAAATTCAAAAATAATTTGTTATTAATTTCAGTTTTTTTTCTATTGTAAACAATGGTTGAAGCATGCATATACAAAGAAGATCCATCACAGCAATAGACTTGGGAGCAGAATGATGCACTGTTTTAAAATCAATCAAAAGCAACCAATCAAAATTTAAGTTATGCAACCCGCTCACCAACGATCAGTGTATGTGTTGTAAAACAATACACAATTCGTGAATTTCATTTTTTATTATACTTCAAAATAGCCGTTGAACTGCCAACCCAATTCTGAGTTTACGGCAATCAGTGTTCAAATACGTTGCCTTGTAATTTTGAACTCAGCCCAGAAGACAAGGGAACCTCTGGATCTAACATTGGGACAAACCTACCCTTGTGGAGGAATTCTTGATGGAACTAACCCGCATTTGCGTTACATGGAGAGGAAGACCACGAAAAAACCCCATGGTTAGTCGAACAGCAAGGATATTCTAACGCATGATCCATCCACCACTGAGGATATTTAGCGGCAGCATTGTGGTAGGTGCAAGACGGGAGCAGAATTCATATTAATCAGCCCCCACTGAGATTTGAGCTTCGGTCATGTCATTGGAGGGGCGAATGCTCCATCCCCTGAGCCACCGAGCCTGTGTACCTTTTTTAATAAAATTGAAGGGCTTGAGGCAATATTGATTCTTATATTGTTCAAGATAACTTTTTTATAAAAAGCAACACGATTTCCAAGTGGAGGCCAAAAGATATTTCTGTGTATTGTGCTGCTCTGGATTCAATTTAATTCGTGTATTGTGCTGTAAATTTATTTCGATTTTTTTCAAGACATTTTCCTACTTTCAACATTATCCGTAGATATTCAATTAAAATGATACATAAAAAATATTAGAAACTGATAAAAAAAAGTATCTGCTGAACTAATAAAACAAAACTAAAACTATTCGAGCTATATGCCCTTAATCAACGTATACAAAATCATCAATGTATCAAAAGGTAGTGGAGTCCTTATTATATTCTTTTATAAATATTTCACGTACAAGATGATATCTAGAATTTATGGTTGGCGTAGATAATTTTTCGGTATGTGATTATCTTTTTATTTTTATTTTAGCATCATGTTAATACAAAAAAAAATCAATTCAATTTCAAAACATGTAAACTACCTATTTCAAAACATGTAAACAACCTAAGAGTTAGATAAATTTTTTAAAAAAGCATTCTCTTTGGGAAACTATGGCTTACATTATATAACCTCAATACTTTCAATTACATAAATTTTTTATTTTTCATCTGAAATCGAAAATGGAGAAAAAGTAAAAAAGTAAAAACAGCTGTTTTAGAATCTAAATGTTGATTTTAATAAACAAAAATTAAGTTAGTAATTTTCTGCGACCAATTACAGTTATCAAATGATTCTTTCTTTTTTTTGAGTTTTATAAATTTTTATTTGTTTATTTATTTATTCAAATATTTTTATTTATTTATTTTTTTATTTTTTGTATGTTCATTGTAAAATGAACCTAAAGTACTTAAAACTACTATTGTATTTAAAAAAAATAATAGTTTTAAATTGTATCTGCATATTTATGATTTATCATAAAAGTATTAGACATTAATCTATAAAAATATATAATATACTCACTACATATATCACATATGCTGACTTTTTATAACATAAGCATTTACAAACGTAAATTATGATTTTTATTTTCTTCCCGTTTAACAAACAATTTTCAACTCTACCCGTAAATATTAAAATTTAATTTTCAATAAAAAAAATTTGGAAATTATTGACAAATACAATTTTTTTTAAAACAAATATAATATGTAACCAAAATTATTCATAGTATATTTCCTTAATCTTGCATTCAATTACCGTATACAAAATCATAAATATATCAAAAGACAGTGGAATCTATTTTCCATGAAAATACGGCCTTTTTTAATATTCCATATAAGATGATATCTTGAATTTATTGCTGGGCGTAGGCAATTTTCTTGTATCCAATTATCTTTGCTTGCCTTTTACACCAGGTGAATATTATACTATCTTACTTATTTTTTACAACTGTGTTAGTCTGTATACATTTTTTATTAAGCAAAGAACTTTTTTAATTTTTCCGTTATAATAGTGTACTAATTTTTGCTACAAAGTATACTCTTACAATTTCGCTCTTTATTCCTAAGTAAGTTGACTTCTTTTTGGTAAAATTTTAATACAAATAGTGAGATTGAGATTTAACTTATAATTTTTCGGGTTACATAAAATTCAAAATATTCCATGATAAAATTTAAAGGAATTTAGTGATTTCTAACAGTAATTTAAAAACAAATTATAACATTTCTTGTTAAGATTATTCCATCAAACTGTATTAAAATAAAATAATAATAATAATAATTACTTAAAAATTGTTATATGAGGAGTTAGGCAATTTGTTTATGTTTGCAATTATTTGTTTATTATTTGTCATGTTTGGTTATGTTTGCAATGAGTTAACCAAATTTATTTAACTCTATAGAGAAAAACGCATTAGAGTTTGCTCACAAGCTCACTACGGATACTTATATTTACAATTAATAAACATAGTCATAACTTCTTCATTTGGTTTTCCAAACCGGTTTGTATTTTAACCGTATATTTTACTTGCTATACAAAATCAGTAGATAAACTACTCATTTTTCATTAACTAACTTTTAAAAAAATGAAATTTGTTTACTATAACGTAAATGTTTAAAAAATATAATGATATTTACAATGCGTAATAACATTTTGTTATAATTATGCATATAAATAAGTAATACGTTTCTAATAAAATATTATTTATTTATTATATTATTGAATTGTTAAATATATATTATTCATTGTTAAATACATTTTATTGTTAAATGTATCTTAATGATCATTAAATTGTTAAATACCTGCGGCATATCTTAACGAAAAAGAAAAAGCTAAAACACCTTTTAAGATATCGACATTCAAACAATTCTAAAATTAGAACGAATGTTTCAATTTATAATAAAATATTGTTCTAATAACCGAGTTTTCTGTCTCAATTTTTTAAATTTTGAACTTTTTAATACGTCCTATATAGGGTTGGATATCTACAAAAAAGATGTGTAACGATGGCAACAAAAATAAGCTTTCAATATTTAGGTTTTCAAAGTTGGTGCAATAAAATAACTTTAAAGTTGGTTCTTCTTTATTAAATGGAATATCTAATATCTAGAGCAAATACTACATACATTTATAAATTAGTTTTTTGAAATCTGCTGATGATGTCCATCAAATGATCTATCAAAAATTTTATTGATTACAGACCGTGATTACATAACAATTAATTTTAAACATGGTTACACAATTTACAATGTCTTTTGTTTTCGTGGTTGCGAATAATCATGATCAATAGAATGTTTAAAATAAAAATGGAATAATGATCATAAATAGTCATAGGATCTATATTAACAAGTAATCGAATGATCTTCACTGTTAACAATTCCAAATCAATCAAATTTTGATATTATGCTATGATCAAATTATGATAATAAGTACCGACATCATCCGCAATTTTAACGTAAAATCTATTTTTACTGTAAAATATTATACCACAATTTTTACAGTAATATTTATTTAATTAAAATGGTTCAGTGGTTTTAAGGTAATTATTACTGTAAAAATTACGGTACATCAGATTTTTCGTTCCGTAGCATATTCCGGTTAATATGGATTTTACGGTAAAAAGAGCCGACACTTTTTACCATAATTAGTGTCCGGAATTTTTTACAGGGTACGTTTACAGACAGTTAAAGTAATCATTTAATCGTTAGTCATGATTACAATAGCATAATTGTATACTTTACTGATTGTATTATATAATTGTTATCCATTATTACAATATATATTGATTACTTGAAATAACAATTAAAATTTAAATAAATAATTTCAAAGTAATAACGAACTTAAATTTAATTTTATTTCGATAAAATATAATAATTTACTATTAATTAGAATATAAATAATTTACTAAACATACAACTGAGACCTCATAAGGATAAGTAGTTATTGTGTCCCATGTAGCATTGTGTCCCATGATTACATGATTAATTATAATCATGATTATTTACAAAGAAAATCGCATATAATCATTGTTGCTTTCGCAAAACAACCGTTTTCTTGTAATCCTGGTTTCTGATTGTCACTGATCATGACAGGAATTTCAATCAAAATTATGGGTGCTTATAATCAATATTACATTCACTCGATTCCTTGTAATCCTTACTTGCGATAAGAAAAAATTTTGCTCAACTGCACTTAGATATTATATTACAAATTGCAAATTGCAATTACTTATTTTACAAAGATTTTATTTCCGTGGTGAAAAAATATTTTTGAACTAATTAATTTAATCT